TGAAGTTTGGCCTAGGCTAGAAGAAAAATAAGAGGAAAATGACTTTGAAATGGTTTCAGAATATTTCATGAGAGCCACGCCTTCTACCATGATGGACCTGTGGAATAATTCCTTGTAGCCAACAGCTACAAATGAACTGAAGCCACAGCACATGGTAGGAGGCCATGCTGATGGTCCCCTCACACTGACCACAAAAGTCCCCTTCTTACACAGGTTGATGGGGAACTGTATGTCAGCCTTTTTATTTGGGCTTTCCTCCATCTTTGTACTCAGCCTTATTGCCTGTAACAGCCCCCTATTTATTTTTCCTGCTTCCAGGATGGCCCCTCAAATCTGATCATGTCATAAAATCCATTAACATTCCTTCAGGATAAAATCTAAATGCCTGAGTATCTCATAAAAGGCTAGCACTAACTGACTCCTGCCTCGCTTTGCAGCCTCCCTTGGTTTGCTTTATATTTTAGAAACATCAGGTATGGACAGGTTGGAAGAAGTTAAGCTGCAATAACAAACAGAAGTTCAGTGGATTATGTCTTGCTTATGCTACATGTTCACTGGCTGTTGGCTGGGTCCCCTGCTCCATGTGTCCTTCATTCATGTGCCCAAGGTAGCAGGATCTCTACCTGCTACTCTTGTGCTGTCGAACACAGTAGCTCCCAGATACATATTGAAATAGGGCTAGTCCAAGCTGAGATGTTCTGTAAGTGTAATGACTCAGTACCAAAAAACACTCATTGATAATTTGTATATTGGTTACTTATTGAAATATTTTGAATATATTGGGTTAATATATTTTATATATTATTAGATTAATTTCAAATATTTCTCTTTACCTTTTATTTTAATATAACTACTGGGAAATTTCAAATTATATATATGGATTACATTATATTTCCACTGGACAGTGCTAGCTTCTCTAGTCACATGCTGGGTGGGTACTGACTCTAAAAGTCTTCCTTGCAGAAATAACAGCTGTTACTTCTATTCACATTTCATCAGGCAATGCCAGTCTCAGGTCCCACCTTACTTTAAAACAGCCAGACAGTGCTGTCTTAACATGTGCTTGAAAGTATAGGAGGTAAGGGATATTCATGACCATCCCTACTGGTTACCCATGAACTCTTAGTGGCTTTCTGAATAGGACATGGATCACTTTGACAGGCTATCATTTTTGGCTAAAAGGTCCTCCCTTCCCACATACATTTGGCCAACTCCTGCTCCTCTTTTAGGAGATGGCTCAAATGTAACTTTTACTGGAAAGTTCTCCTGTACCCCATCTACCCACCCACCCCACCAACACACATACATTGTGAGGGGTTGGTTATGGTATTCTCCTCGCTGAACAGGACCTTGAACACTTCATCTAGTTCCTGAGGCTTTAAACTGCCACAGCTACCTAGGAAATCCACACTAAGTATCATGCAGATTAGACTTGGCAGCACACTTCCTTCTTTCATCCACCACCTTAGTTCAGAATTGTCCTCCTCGTCCAGCATGTGCTCCTTAGCAATGTTTTTCTGCATCCATTGCCATGGCAAGCTCCCTGCTTCACCCACTGCTGTATCCCCAGCACCTCTCTCACTGCCTGGCAAGGGAAGGCACTCAGAAGACACTGAATGACCAAGTGGAGTGATGCGTTGTACAGCACTGTTACTCCTTTTCCATTTCTATGTCCCATGTGAACCTCATGGCAGCCATGAGAGGGAGGTTCTACCAGGTTTATCCTTTCTAGTTTACAGATGAGAAAACAGGATCCGAGTGGTGCAGAGATTGGTCTGAGTCACAGAGAAAGTAAATTGTAAAAGCGGGAGTAGAACACAGGCTGCCTGACTTCTGGCCCAGTTCTCTTTACTCAAATTGCCTCTTATTTCTCAGGTTATTCTTGAAATGGCAGATGTAGATTCTGTTTAATGAAATGGAAATGACAATTTCTTTTTGTGGGGGGAGGAGGTGGAGACAGGGTCTCACTCTGTCACTGTCACGCGGGCTGGAGTACAGTGGCACAATCATGGCTCACTGTAGCCTCAACCTCCTGGGCTCAAGTGATTCTTCCACCTTAGCCTCATTGAGTAGCTGGAATTATAGGTGCATACCACCATGTCCAGCTAATTTTTAAAGTTTTTTGTAGAGACAAGGTCTCACTATATTGCTCAATCTGGTCTTGAACTCCTGGCCTCAAGTGATCTTCCAAATGCCTGAGCTTTTCCAGGCTAGGCATGGTGGGTAATGCCTGTAATCTCAGCACTTCAGAAGCTGAGGTGCTGGGATTACAGGCATCACCCCATATCCAACTTAAAAATCCTTTCTATGTCCTTAATATTCTTAACATTTTCATTCCCAGCACTTCTCCATCCATTCACCCATTTATTTCACAAATATTTATTGAACACTTCCTATGAGCCTCCAAGGACTGTTTTCCAGAACAAAGGCTCTTGAGTCAGAATAGATCAAGAAGCTCTCCCAGTTACTAGCTGTAAGGTCATGGTGAATTTGACCATTCTTTGTCTTAATTTCTCAGTAAAATGGGAATCCTAATGATTCTTTGTTCACTGGGCTGTGTTGAGAATTTCCTATGTTCTACTGCTGCTCTAACAAATAACACAGACTTAGTACCTTACAAATAACACTCATGTATTATGTCACAGTTCTGTGGGTTAGCTGTGTCTCTGCCCAGGATTTACAAGGCTAAAATTGATGTGTCAGTAGTCCTGTGCCCCATTTTGGAGGCTCTGGGGATGAATCTACCTCCAGGCTCATTTAAGTTGTTGACAGAATTTAGTTCCTTGTGGGTATAGGGCTGAAGCTGCTGTTTCCTTTCTGACTGTTGGCCAGGAGTTGTTCTCAGACTCTAGGGACCACTTGCATTCCTTGGCTTGTGGCCTCTTCCTCCATCTTCAAAGCCAGCAACATGTCAAGTCCTTCCCACACTTCAGCTTTCTCTGGCTTCCCCCTCTGCCTCATCTCTCCTACCTCCAGTTGGAGAATGTTCTCCACTTTCTAGGTCTAATGTGATTAGATCAAGCCCATCCAGATAATCCCCCACCTCAAAATCTTTAACATCACAACTGCAAAGTCTTTGTTGCCATCTAAAGTAATATTTGCAGGTTCTAGGGATCAAGACATGAACATCTTTAGGGGCCATTATTCTGCCTGCCATAAAGATTAAATGAAACAATGCATGTAATACACTTGGTAACATGCCTGGGCATATTTTAATTACTCAATATGTGTTAGGTATTATGATTGCTATTGTTGTATTGTTATTATGTTATCGTTGGTAAGGCAGGGAAGGGATTGTTACCCTATATTATGAATAAGGAAATAGAAAGGCAGAGATGTGACCTAACTAGTTCGTTCTGATGGTATGGTGCATTACTGAGTGTTCATCTTTGCATTCCCATTGCGTAGCATGGTATCTGGTAGATAGTAGGAATCACTACTTTTTGAGCACTTGCTGTGTTTCAGATGCTTTGCAAAAGTGTTTTCTTCACTGGCATAACAACGCTGGAAGGCAGGAATTCTTAACCCATTTTGTAGTGGGGAAATGGAGGGTGAGATGTGTTAAGTAAGATCTCAAGGTCTGGAGCTCACAGGTAGTGAAATTGAGACTTGGACCTTAATCACTTTAATTGTAAATCCTGCCTCTTTCTGCTTCTGCATGCTGACCCTCTGGTTTATTTTACTCCAATAGGAGATATTTCTTGACCAGCCCCATTCCTTCAGCATTGCTATATATAAATTTTTTGATACAGATCTGAGGTTCAAAAATGATAAATGGCTCACTCAAGGTCATGGAGATACCAGATGGCAGAGAGGGGATTTGAACCCAGGTTTAGCCTAGTTCTGATGTCCTTGCTCCTTCTACCACTGTGCTGCTCAGGATATTTGCTGAGCTGGGGCTCAGCACCTGAGTGTTAAATGAATTAACAGCCCATTCCAGCCCTATTCCTATCTTTATATTTTGCAGGAAAAACAGCCAACAGGTGTTGTTGCTCTAGAGGACCTTATGACTTGGGACAGTAGCTGGTTTCTTGAGGGCTGAAAGTGATGCATGTTTTCCTCTGGGAACGAGAATTCTGTGAAGGACCCACACTGCCGGTGGTCTCAGCATGCTTTTTCTTAGGACTTGAGAGTGGGTGGTTGAGTTGCCCGTCATGGGTGCTGGCAAAACAATAACTACATTATTCTCTACTTTTTGGGATTATTTTTAAAAAGCCAACTAAAGACCAGAGGAAGAGGAGTTTGGGAGGCGGTGCAGCCCTGGTGTTCCCCCCGGCTTGTCACCTTTTCTGTCTTATTTCTGTTCATGGAAATTCAGTCAGGCTGAGGCCTCTGGTGTTTGCACGCAGGACAATGGTTTCAGGGGACTTTAACCCTCAAGGGGGCAAGAACAACTTTGTATCAGTAACTGCTGATTGACCTAAAAACATGTTAGGTGATTTGTTCTGGCAACATAAAAACATAAAGTCGTAAGTATTTCTGACAATGATGATTGACCCTGATGTTACTTTTTAAAAAAAATTGTTACCCTTTGCAACCTCAGAGGATCCTAAGGCACCACAATGAAGTAAGTAGGGCCCTAGCTGAGTTAAGATCACAGGCACTGGGATCATCCTGGTTTGGATACCGGCTCTGTTATTTACCGTGGGTTACCCAAAGGTAATCCCACTTAGCATGGGGTTGCCCCTCTGATCCTCAGTTTTATCATCTCTAAATATGGATAATAATATCAAATGACTAGGGCTATTTGGGCATCAAACGACAAAATGTAAGAACAGTGCATAAATCAGGGGCTGGCGGAGAGTAAGTACTCAAAGTGGCACTGTGATGCTTGTACAGGTAAATCACCTGCGACTATGGGAGGACATGTGATGTGGGCAGGCTCACCCAGCAAATGAAAGGCAAATAGGTGCTGGCTGTGTTAATTCCAGAGGTTCTAACCCAGCCTCCTCCAGACTGAATCCTCTTCTCTGAGTCTGTTTATTCACCGTCTCTTACAGCCCTTTCCAAGTGTGAACCCAGGGGAGACCTTTGCAAACTGAAGTCATGAAGCAGGTTACATGAGGTAGACCCACCTCCTGACAGCTGTCTCCATAGACACAGCCTGGTTTTGGTCTCCATCCCTTACCTAGGTAAGTACAACACTTTCCTAACTGCTTTCCCCATTTCGTTTTGATCGTACGCTGCTGCTGGAGCAACCTTGCTAAAAATATTTACTTTAAAACCCTTAACCAGCACTCAAGACCTCATCCACTCCAGGCCCACACTGGAAAGCAGGGTTTTCATGTCTCCTACCTATCCTTGCCTCGTAGTACTAGCTGAGGGACATGGTCTTTCTAAAGGATCTCGGAACGTAAACAGCCCATTCATCTCTCTGGATGCTTGAGGTTCCCTTTTGGAATCAAGCGGAGCCATCAGAAGGTCAATGGACTATGTTTTGCCACAGTCCTGTGCAGAATCAGGCTGGGTTATGCCCTCACTCTCTGTCCCACGTTGAGACGGCATTGTGAATATTGTTCACTATATCACACACTGCCTCCTGTGTGAAGCCCGTGGAAGAGATTCTTTTAGAACTATCCTGGAGAAATAAGTATGGATTGGCTTTCCTTTGTACTGTGGCTGCCAGGAAACTGGAAGTCACACTTGAAACGGTACCATAGCAGCCAGTGAGACTTTATGGTCTGGGTTTTGGGCTCTGTGTTCTTTCCCCATTATGTATAGTTTCTCTCATTCTTACTCTTTATGCTAATGAACTCAGTCATGGGATATGATTGAAATAAGAAAGTGTCTGGTACTGTAAAAGTTAATTTGCGAAGTAATAATAATAACAATAATAAGTAACACTTATTGAGTAATTGCTATGTGTGAGGCATTGTTCTAAGTCCCTTATATGCATTTTTGTGTTTAATTTTCACACAAACCTTAAGTGGTAGGTGATATTATTGTCCCATTTTTATGGAGGAGAAAACTGAGGCATGAAATGATAAATGATTTGCCCAATGTTATGAAGCAAGTAATTGGCAAAGTCAAACTTTGAATATGGGATAATTTGACTCCAGAAACTAAGACCTGATCCAGTAGGCATTGAGCTTCCCGAGAAACAAGAGAAATGGACATAGCCAAATCAAACCTTAGGTAGCTTGTCTTTGCTTATAAGAGAAATGAGATGTGGTGTAGGTAAGAGGTTGCTAAGGTTGATGTACACATAGGAGCAAATAGAAAAGTGAATAGATCTGAGTGAGACCACAGGCTCTGGAAGAGCCCACTGTGTTTCAGGGTGTTCTGGAATAGGGACATCTGTGAGCAGAGCCAATAGCTGTTCCAGCTTAGATGACTTCATCATATATATCCTACCTGCCTCTATAACTGAAGTTTCAGACAGGCCAATTATTTTCAGTTCCACAACCCTGCCAACCAGCACAGCCTCTTGCCCTGGGTGTGGACATGCTGCTCCTCCTTCACCTCCAGGCTCAGCCTTGTAAACCAGTCCATTTTTCAGGAAACAGCTCAGAAATCCCAGGGGTGCTTTCTTGGGTTAGATGTCCTGTCGCAGTCCCCAAACTTGCAAGTTGCTGTGTTTTTCTTTTCTACAGTGCTGAATGCACTATTAAAAAGGCCTGCTTATTGCTCTGTTTTCTCTTGTTGACCCAGAGATTCTTGAGGGCAATGCAGCATGTTTTATTCTGCATCGCATGTTGGAGTCATTACGTATGTTTGTGTGCATAGTCTCTTCATGAAGAATTGTCAAGCAGTAAATTGTATCTGCTCTGTACTTCTATCTGCATAAATATTCAAATGATCATACGGTGTTATTTTACGGTGTGTGGTCTCATGTAGGCCTCATTGTGGAATGAAATAGGGTATAAACAAGCAAGCAAGCAAATAAACGAATACATGTAACTCAAATCTGCATAGTGCTTTATAGATGACGTCCTTTAATATCGATTATCTCATTGGTTATAACCCTCTCATTTTGCATATGAGGAAAGAGATGGCTCAGGATTGCTCAGCTTATGAGGTAGTTTAAGGCGGCTCAAATCCAGAACAGGGGCTTTGGATAACCCAGGTCCTGGGCATAAAGCCTGACCTGACCACTTGAGGGCCTCTTTGAAATTCAATTTTCTCATTTCTAAAATGGAAATAATAATAGAACCCAGGATAGCAATGTAGATCCAGAGAGTTATGCGAAGTGGAAAGGCTGCATAAATGCATGGTGAATATATCAATATACAATCTAAGTCTGTAGAATACTTTGCAACAAATGCCAGGTTGTAAGAAAGCAGTGGAATTTCTTGTGTGTTCCTGACCACACTCATTCTTCCTCCTAACGTTCTGCTCATTCACTTCCCTCTAGATCTTGCAGTTATTAAGATCCTTAGTTTTTGCCACATGTATGTTATTTCATAATTCTTGGCCTTGCTTTGGATTCCCGCTCTCCCTGAGCTCGTTCTCCAAGATTTGTTCTTTTGCTGAGTTGGAAAACTTCCTTCTCCTCTTGCACAACATCTCTGATTCCACAGCTGTGACATTCCACCTGGCAGGGAGCTCTGCTGTGGACACAGAGCTCACTTGGGGACCTCAGCCGGAACACAAAGATCTCACTGCCTTGACCCAGCAAAGAACACCTTCCTCTGATTCTAGGAAATGCATGAGAGGACCTGCATTATTTCAAAGCCAACATTTTTCAGGCATTGGACAATTTGATGGTGGAGTTCATTCCCCGCTTCCATCTGGACTGGTTCGTTTTGATCTGTCAAGTATCCTTGGGGCCAGACAGACTGCCAGATTGGGTAATTTTCTCTGAAAAGAGCTGTAAAGATGAGGGTTTCAGATGTGCTTTCAGCGTGAATCATGAGTTGCAGGCACCAGGGCCAATGTGGAGCATATGTCCATCAACGAGGGTGGGGTAAAACAAAGTGGGAGCTACATGTGACATCCTTGGAGCTACCACAGTTCAAAGGAGAGTTCTGCACCTGTGAACTTTTAGTACTTTTTAAAGGTATTTCTATAACCCTTTAGATTGAATTCACATTGTTGTTTGTTTTACAAAAAATTATTGAGCCTTGAAACAGATAGATATGATCCTGGCAGTCTGGTTGGAAACATCAGCCTATAAGGGACAAGTAAAATATCGTGTGATGAGGGCTGTAGTGAAGGAAGCACAGAGGGTTATGAGATACTGTGTAAAAGGCCCTCCATGCAGACTTGGTGGGGGTGGTCAAGATGGAGGTGACAAGTGGCAGGGAAAACTTGTCAGAGGAATTTATCACTTAGCTGAGATCTAAAGAATGAGCTGAATTAGCTAGTTGAAGAATAATCCAGGGAAGAGTAATCCAGGGGCAAGAAATAATATGTGTAAAACCCTGGAGGTGAAGGAACGTAACGTGTTAGAGAAACAAACACCATTTCTGAGTGGGACTGCGGTGTAGGCAAAGATGGGGTGAAAACAAGAGAGAGGTCCAGGCACTGCCTACTTTTCCCTCTTTTCACTTTACTACAACATCTGCCTACACAAAATGTGCTCAGGAATATATGTGTTAAATGAAAAATTCCTTACATTCATAGATTCAGAAATACTTAAAGTTCTAATGGGAATTTAAAAGCCACCCATTCAGAAAGGAGGTTGTCTTAAATGTGGGACCTCTGTAAGTAAAGAAGCAACTCAGAACTTTCCTGGGTAGGGCAGGATTTTGCAGGATTTGGATCCCAGGATTTGGCCTTGTTACTAAGCTATCGTATGGGCCCTAGCAGGGCCAGAGCATGAACTGCTAGGAGGGGTTTGCATGTAATAAGACACACCTGTTGTTCTTATATTAACAATCAGAGTTACCTGAACTGCTAGTTCAAAGGATTTGCCAGCAGACTATCTGACTACATAATTTCAACAACCCCAACTCCTCAAGTCATACTCCACCAAAGGGTACCTACCAAATATAACATGATTCCTACCTTCCTGGGACCTTTAGTAGCTATCTTATTCCTACTAATCCTTGGTCCTTGTTTGTTTAGCTTCCTTGTAAAGTTTGTGTATTCCAGGTTGCAGCAGTTGCATGTCAACATGATGATGATGCAAGGATTCCAATCAACTCCTGCCTTGGAATTAGACTCTTTTGATGACCTGTGCTGGGAACACTTAGACCAGGCAACCAGGGATCTCCACGCCCTTACTAGGCAGGGCTATCACCGCTAAGCATCAGGAAGTAGATACAGAAGACTGACATTCTTCCTCATTGACCCTTAAGAATAAAGGGATGGAATCTCTGCAGGGGGGAAAATGAGATGGGAATAATACAGGGTGGTCACAGGAGAACAGAAAATTCCAGGCAGCGGTTTCACATGACTAGCAAAAGGAAACTGTTAAAATAGCTGCAGAAGCTATAGGCTGATAAGACTGTGAAAAATCAGGGTGTGGACAAAGCTGGCTAAGACTGGCTAGACACAACATGACACTGGAATTGACCTAGTTTTCACCTACGACCTCATTATATGCTCATTAACATGTTAAATCACACACCCACCAGTGCCGTGACAGTACAGGAACACCTATAATTGGTATAAAAATGATGTCATCACAGTTCCGAGATATCGCCACCTTTTTTCCAGGGAACTTCCTGGTTAAAGAAACCCATTAAAGTGGAAACCTCAAGCTCCACAGTCCACATCTCTCTTGAGCATGCCTGCACTCCCCTTTCTTGAGTGTGCACTGATAAGACTTTGAATGGCATTTTAAGAAATTTAAATTTCAACCTGAAGCCATAGGGTCACATCAGAAGTTTTCAAAGGTGAGAGTCCATTGGGAAGTAAAGGTTTGTAATATAAGAAAAAATGGATTGGAGGAGGTGAGCCCAGGAGCAGAGATACTATTTGAAGAGCAATTTCAATAGTCCAAGGTAGAGAAAATGACTGTATGAACCACAGCACTGACAATGGGATGGACAGGGAGGAAAATTCTGAAAACACTGCTAAAGTGAGGCCTAGAATAACCTCCACCAGACTAGCCTGTTGCTTTTTCATCAGTTAGGGCAGTGGTCCTGTCACTGGCTAAACATTAGAATTTCCAGGAGGAGAAGCAGGCCTAGACTGCACCTTGGACCAAATGAATCAAAATCATTAAGTGCAGGGTCTTGATTCTCAGGTAATTCTCTTTGTGTAGCTCTGGTTGAGAACAGACCATCCTAGGGAGAGTTTCCCAGGTCTTTGCTCTCTGGGCTGGGAGAGATTTGACATTTACTTACATCAGGAAAGCTAGAAATGGAAAAGTGCATGTTGCATGGATGAAAGAGTGCAGTATGTCAATAGAAATCTAGACAGAACTATCTAGATGTAGAATTGTTAAGTAATTTATCATGCAGGCAGAGACACTATTAACTGGACAGAACACTGGGCTATGAGTGCAAACTGAGATTGCCATGGATGAACCAAAATAAATGGCAACTCTCTATTTTGCCACCAATTCTACTGCTTCCATTCTTTCTAGAGCCTTTTCCCAGTGAGGCTTTTGCCCCATCATTCATAAGAACTTTTACTTTCCAGGTGACCAATTTCTACATGGCTGAACCTAAGGGTCAATTGTCTGTCCACTTTTCATTTGGCCCAACAGTTGATTTCGTTGATTCTTTCTTGACTTGGCTATATACCACACTCCTCTGTTTTTCCTCCCAGGTTGCTGGCTAGTTTTCCTGTTTGCTGGTTCCTTATAACTCTCTAACCTTTTAATATCAACGTGCACCTTGGTTCAGTCCCAGGCCCCATCTTCTTTGTCTCTCCCCACTCTCTTTGACAATGTCATCCGGTTTCATTGATTGGAATGCTATTGTTATGCTGAAAAGTCTCAAATTTAT